GTGTGTGTGTGTGTGTGTGTGTGTGTGTGTGTGTGTGTGTGTGTGTGCAGGCAGCAAAGGGCCTACATAGCAACTCAAGGCCCACTGGCTGAGACCACAGAGGACTTCTGGAGAATGCTGTGGGAGCACAACTCCACCATAGTCGTCATGCTAACCAAGCTGAGAGAAATGGGACGGGTACGGTAACCACTCCAAAGGATAGATAAGCACATCATGTAGGAAATACCTGTTAACATGGACCTGGCCTGCACTGGGACCTATGGAAAATATAAACCTGACAATTTAGATGAGATCTGTTATGCCTGTCCTTTCATTTATATGAATAATTTAACATGAGCTGCTCAAAACAGTAGCTTTTTCACTCCTAAATTGTCCATATCTATAACAACCGTCAGCACATCAGAGGTTTATTTTTCATGTGGCTCTGCTATTGAAGGAGGGCGTTTGCAGAGCTCGATGAGCTGTTGAACCTGCCTGCTCTCACAGAATTACGGCATTCGGTCAAGGAGACAAAACTGTCAGAGAGTAGAAAACTCCAGGTGGACACGTCCAGACAAGTCCATTTTATGTGCATTTACAATCATGATCGCAGCTATAACAGAAGCCCACATTTAACTCTCAACTTAACTCTATGCTAAAATATTCCGTGAAGCGTTCTGCGCTCGTCAGATATTAAAATACAAAGTCAATTCAAGTCTTTAAAGCCATTACAAATTAAATTCCTGGAGGCGACTGATTTTAGGCCGCAGACGAATGTGCGGAAGTCTTCTTTTATCCACTTCTGCTCTCGACTTTAGCAGAAATCCCTTATCAGGAGTTCTGGAGTGGACTTTTATGTTCTCTTAACTTTGAAACAGGGGCTCCTTTGACAATGTTCAGCCTGGCAGCTTTTGTGACGTCACCGACGAGGCTGACTGCGGAGTTTCGACGAATCTCCTAAAATACAAGATGTTTCCCCTCAGGCCGAATCCTTCAACCAGCTCTGAAAAGAATGCTTTGTGTCGCCCTCCACAGGAGAAGTGTCACCAGTACTGGCCCGCAGAGCGCTCGGCCAGATACCAGTACTTTGTGGTGGATCCCATGGCGGAGTACAACATGCCCCAGTACATCCTCAGAGAGTTCAAAGTGACCGATGCCAGGGTGTGTGCCGGCGGCCCCTGCTCCTGCTCGTTTGGCAGTTGGACTCCGAAAGAGTAACAGCACTGTTTTCCCTCCATAGGATGGCCAGTCCCGGACAGTGCGTCAGTTCCAGTTCACCGACTGGCCAGAGCAAGGAGTGCCAAAGTCAGGGGAGGGATTTATAGATTTTATTGGCCAGGTTCACAAAACTAAAGAGCAGTTTGGCCAGGATGGACCAATCAGCGTCCATTGCAGGTAAGGCATAGACCCACGGTAAAAATAAATCCTTAATATTCCAGGTCGCTCAGTCAATCGCAAATGTTTGAAGACTGTGGGAGGAATTCGGAGCACGGCGCTGACCACCGCGCCGTGTGCCGCTTCCAAAATGCCACTAGAAATTAGGTCCTGCTCGTTTTTTCTTGTCAAGAAAAAAAGTCATTTACCATTGACAAAGGGGAAAAAAAGTGTTTCGGTGGCAAAGCAGTTTTTTTATTTAAGCGGCTTCAAAGAGAAAAGCCAGCCTGGTCCCAAAAAGGTTTATGAGACTTTTCAAAATGCTAAAACTACAGCAGAGAGCCCATTTTTACAGACAATCTGAAGAAAACGTGGACAAAAGACCAGAAAACTTAATCTAATGTATAAATTGTATATATTCAGGAACAAACACGTGTGCTAATAAGAAGGCAAGTGAGAGGGAGGAATTTTACACCGACAACAGAAAAGACTAAATGAATAAAAATAGACACTATTATCAATAAAAGCTCATAATAATCGTGAGGTTATTACAATTATTAATAGTTATACGGATGTACATATGTCTATTAATGTGTAGTCTGAAGATATTGTTAATGACAGTATCAACGATAATGAAAGCAACTGATCAGACACCATATCATACCACAGAAGTAGATGAAGACTGAGAGAACTAATTTGTCTGACAGCAGCCCCACGGACTCACATTTACAAATGAATGTATGTGGAGTTAATTAACTTGTGTGGTGCATTTAAAAAAAAATAATAATAAAGCACGATGAGCGGCTTTGAACAAATAACAAGCTCTGTATTAGTTCTCCTTTGACACCGGTGGTCAGCCACCTTTCTTTCCGTCTCAAGTCCAGCCAGTAACTTCACGAGTAATCCGACACACACACAGCGCTGGCCGTGTGTCGAACAGCAGATGAGTCTAAAAGAGCACAAAGACGTCAGAGAAGCATTCGGCCACATCAGAAAGAAAGCAGAAACTCTCTGAAACCAGCACGCAAACTGAGCACCTGAGCAGCTAATCTGCTCCGCCTGACCAGCGCTGACCAGCCAGAGGCCGGAATGATGGCGCTGCTAATTCTGCCACTCGCTCCTATTCATCTACCTTAAACTGTCTGAGGGCTTAAGGAAAACTAACAGTCCTGAGGAGAGCTGCAGCCCTAATGGGTGTCAGGGAGAATACTGGAAGAGCACACTGTGTCTGCCAGTTCCTAAAAAAAACCATTAGAGCACTTTTATAAAAACGATTCTGCCCATTTGGAGCTTTTTTTTTCTTCTTTTTACAAAAAAAAATTCCACTTCTCACAGATAGACGGCAAAAGAATAAAGAAGATTTATTGGACGGTGCATTTGCTTCTGTGTTCTATCACAGATGCACACACATACGTGTAAGGCAGCAGGGGAATGATAAAGAAGACTCATTTGTTTTCTGCGGCTGCTCCATAGGATTAATAAACCAAGAAAACCCAGATGCATCTTACACTGAATTCATATCACTGGTGGACAAAATGCTCAGTGTAACCTGCTCAGTGTTTCAAAGCAAAAAGAGAGCCGGTTTGAGCACAGTTATGTGGTTCTCGTTCTTCGATCCGCTAAACGTTTCGTACAGATCCAGCCTTCTCCATTTGGCCGGTGTCGGCCCACGCTTCTTTGAAGCTGGGTTTCCATTTAATTCATGAACTGTGGCTTTTTCCAGCTAGACATATGACTACCGCATATCTGGAGATCTGAAGAAAAACAGCAGGCAAATTGAATGCAGAATTAGCCCAATAATCAGTTGTTTTTTTTAATCACAATTAACGGCAGAGTGAGGGCGGGTTTGGTCTGTCCGTGAACGCTGAAAGAATCCCACTCAAAGCTTCTTTCCAACCGTCTGCCAACAGTGCCGGAGTGGGCAGGACCGGCGTCTTCATCACCCTCAGCATCGTGCTGGAACGGATGAGGTACGAGGGCGTGGTGGACATCTTCCAGACGGTCAAGATGCTGCGCACTCAGAGACCCGCCACCGTTCAGACAGAGGCAAGTCCCCCCCCCCCAAAAAAAACACAAAAAAAAACTGTCAACTTTTTCTTTTCTAACGTTGTCTTTTTCCCTCCGGCTCCAGGACCAGTACCAGTTCTGCTACAGGGCCAGTCTGGAGTACCTGGGGAGCTTCGACCACTATGCAACATAAGACCCCGTTGCCGTCTGTCATGCCACACACAACCTAGTGCCCCCTTTTGTAGTGTCGCACGGTTACCCGAGTTAATGCACTAGGCTGCGATGTGTCCGTGAAGATTTTGCCACCACACGCAGAGTGGAGGGGGGGGGGAACCGTCCGCCCCCTCCCCACCCCAGAAACAGCACCTCTAACTGAGCCATACCAAACCTGCTTGACAAGGGTGTTAAGCTTCCACCCTCCCGCCCAAAACACACCCGCCGCTCAGTCTGGAGACGCAACTTCAAGCATTGTTCCAATCAGAATACTTGATCAAATATACAGTGTTTTCTTATTTCTTTCTTCTTCTTTTTTTTTTGCTTTTGTGAGCACCCGGATTGCTTTGGGTGGGTTAGGTGTGGAACTCTCACCTCCAGTGTAGCATCACCAAACTAAATGCAGGACCAAGCTACAGCAAGTTTTTTTTTCTTTTTATATCACGAGGAGCATCCAGAGGGAGAGTCTACAAATCCAGCTCACAAAAAGAGGGGGGGAGTGGTTGTGTTCATAGACTGGAGAAAGAAAGAAAAAACAGACTTTTAAGTACCGTGGAATTGCCAACAGGAGACCGAGACACAGACAGAGCACTCAGTATGGAAAAGACTGCTCGCGTTGAAAGAAAAAGAAGCACCCACGTTACGTTTGTTTTTTGTATCCTTTCTTATTTTTCTTTTTTTTTCTTTTTTCGGAAACAGACTTTGGTTTTCCGCGAATGAAAAACAAACCTACCACACAGTAACAGAACACCACCGGTTCAACCTTATGCTCCACGGCTTACGAATAAGGGAAGTACACCAGAGGCTCCAGCCACAAAGTTAAACAGGAATCTAGTTTTTTAGAAATATATATGACTTTTTTTGTTTTTGTTTTGTTTTGGAATGGGTATTTCCCATGACTCGTTATGTTTTTTTTATTTTTAGAAGGTTACAAGGTTTCGACCCTTCTTGGAGACAGAGCAAGGTTGTGTTTTTATGTCTTTTTCTGTGTAAGCCAATGAGCTGTAGCCATTTTTTTAAGAAGTGATTTTAAGAGTACAATCAGTTCTCTGGTGTGCAAAATGTTCACAAAAAGAAAAGACAAGCACACATACACACAGGAAAGACAAAACAAACAAAAAAAACAACTACCACAGAGTGTTACTCTCTTGTATTGTCCTCCCACTCTCTTTGTGACACGCGCACGTGGCCGGGCGCACGGAGGCAGCAACCACCCCGACAAGTGTTGTCCTGCTTGTGCGCGGGCGTCAGGCAGAAGCAGGAGGCCAGGGCCGGAAAAGGAAGACGGCTTTGAAACATGGGGGGGGGGGCTGTCGGGGTCGGGGACAAATTTCTCACTGGAATGCTCACCTTAGATTTTTCTCCCTGTCTGATTCAGTGTGCAATAAGTAGATGTATTATATATATTTTTGTGTCAAGTCACTAACTGCAGTTATACGCCATGATGATGATGATGATGATGAAGATACAGATGATGGAGCGCCTTTTTTTTGGTTAGTTTTAGTTTTTGTTTGTTTCTTTTTCTTCCCCCTCCCAGACACAAGGATGTTACACTTCGATGTGGTCACCTCCACCACTTAACGTGTGGGCTCAGCGGGGGTGACCTCTGACCTCTCGGGATCTCCCGTCATGTCCAGACTCCAGTAGATGATGTCGTCCTTTCTGTGTGTCACGGCAAGCAACCAACGAATGATCGGACTCATACTCCAACAGCATCTATTCATTATCTTTGATTTTAGATTTCTAGTGCCTTATATTACACGCCTATTTTGATAACGTTTCTTTGAACGGCTTTTCTGTGTGTGTTTGTGAGAGTGTGTGTGTGTGTGTATTTTACGAATGTCTGCAAATGTGATTTTGTTCGGGATGTGAAAGTGCGTTTCGTGCGTTGTCTTTTGTTCTGTTTTTCTTTTTTGGTTTATGTTTTTGTTGTTTTGGCTACATATTTTTGAACAGAAAGCTCCGTGTTGTACTCATTCCAAAACCCCGTACACGGAATCATCATATCTCAGTTTTTAGGCTCGTAGTCCTCGGTGAGCGTCGGTGGTTTCAGAGCAGATTGTTTTCCAGCAGACAAAATTTGACCATTTCCCCCCCCCAAATCGTCTTGCCTGCCATGAAGCTCAGTTCCCGCTGTCTTCATTTGTCCAATCAGAAAAGGTGAAGAATCCCGCCATCGGAGCGCGTTAGCCAACCGCTCATCTGAGTCCCTTTGACATTTGTTGTGTACGTTTTCCAGTTAAAAAAAAAACAGGCTAAAAACAGAAGGAAAAAAAAAGTTCCGGTGCTAACGACACACAACACTTTTTTTTTTGTCGTTTCTTTTTTTCAAACTGTCAATTCATAACCACACAAAGACTTGGTGGACAGCTTTCCATCATCCTACAGTTTTTATTATGGTTTTGTTTCATTCGTCTTTTGTATGCATGGTACCACTCTGAGATGCCCCCTTTGGTCACACCGGTAATGGGAAGACTTGCACTTTCTCTCTTTGTACTATGCACTAATACTAGTATCTTAATATATCTGTTAGCCCCGCCCCCCCCCTCACCCAAAAAACAAAAAAAGCTCAACAACAAAAAAAAAAGGAGTCTTACTTGAACTCGGTAAAGTTGGATTGTGTACCACTCACATGGTTGTGTATATGTAAATAACACAAGACACAGAGTTATGGAAATGTAAGATAGATGGATGCAGAAGTAAAACTAAAGAGAGACGTGTGGAGCAAAGAGAACTTTATCTGACAGACAGAGTGTTATAATGAAGGGATGCACCTGAAATCACAGTTTTATGGCACAGCACTATGTGCAATACATCACATTGTGGATTTGTCGTACCACAAGCGAGAAGTTTCACACACAAAAAACGTGTTCTATTTTACCCCCCCTCCCCTTACCCCATGTATCTTGTAGATGGATAAAACTGGAGTTTATAAATTGTATAAAAATGAAAATATGGTGTGTTACTCGGATCCGTTGCCTCCAATCGGTCTGTATATGTAAACCCCTCGTTTTGTTTGCAGCTCTGAATCAACAAGTGCTTTTTATTTTTCTTACATTGGTTCTCAGAGCGTGTGAAAACTGATAATGATAATAAAACAACAAAAAAAACTGGTCTGTATGGATTTCTGTTCTTTATCGACACAAGTTTCATTTGTTACAAATAAACTCAAGTGAGAAAAAAAAAAACCTGCCCCCGCTGTCGTCTCTGAACTGAAACATTAAAATCACAGATGGTCACTGATGCTTTAAGCAAAAAGCAGCTTACAGAGTTGGAAAAGATGACCCCTCACTGAAGAGAACTCAGATCAGGGTGACTGATAACCTTATTTTCAGCTCATTTAACAGCTACACAGCAAGCAAAAAAGAAACACTGGTCATTAAAAATTGAAGCGCTCTCAGATGTCAGTGTCCACAATGTGCTGACACCAGGAATTTCTGATCTATTCCTCCGAACAACAACCTTGTACATGATTTTCACACGGGATACAAGATATCCATGTACTGGGGTGGAAATACGCCCAGCAAGTACTTAAATCTGTGCGTATGTCTGTATCAATACAAAAAAAAGTCTTCAATCCTAATCAGTTTTTTTTAACACTTTAATCCAGTCCTCATATAAAATGGGGCTATATAGCCAGAGGCCAATAAAAATAGAGAATAGAACAGTTTGAATTGAAGCTTGTTTGAAGGGTGTTGTAGATTATTTTTTAACACCTGAAATGAATATCTTATCACAGACTTTTTCTCCCAGAATGCTCTCGGCTTAACTGAGACCTGAGCGATGTCACAGTCTTATTCTCATCTTATCAAGTCATCATTGGAAACTATTGAAAGATTCCACTCCTGCAGTACTTGATACCTTCTAACTGCATCTTTTCTCGTTCCAGCGGCCTGATAATGTTTGCTTCTTCCTGATTCGGCCGATGGCAGCCCAGAAACACACGCGTAGGCTCCACATGCATCCCGGCCTTTTAGAGGCTCTTCTGAGTGTCCTCAAACTGCTACTGTCACGTTTAAATATTGATGTCTGCAGCTCCAGAATGGCGGGCTTTCCTCCTCAGAGGCAGCAGCAGCAGCCGCTTGCACTCGGCTCGTTTTTTGAGAACACAAAGCCCGGCCGGCTGCCTGGGAAGGAGGAATCCACCTGAGAGTGTTCTGCTGAGAGGAGGCTGTGTGACAGAACGTGCTTCCTGGTAGGAGGAGGAAGAGGAGAAGGAGGAGGAGGAGGAGGAGGAGGAGGAGGATGGCCATATCTGGCTGCTGTGCCTCATTGCATATTTTTGTTGGCCGGCAAATATTTTTGTCAAGATATAACATTTATTCAACAGTTTATTTCCATCTACTTTAAACCAGTGAGGCCACCTATGAAGAGGGAGAACACAAACAGTTGACTAACCCACACCGTGTTGATTCCAAAGCAAACGAGTGACGGATGTCAGCGGTTCCTGGAAATCAGAGACCTCAGAGGTGCATTTAAAACCTACTGGAGGACATCTTTTTCATGACCCCAAATTTGGAAAAGTATGGTTGCATCATCGGTAACACTTCTCAGCACATAGTAACAATTATTTGATGGATATTGGTTTTGCTTAAAACACTCAGAAAAGAAAGTACCCAATTGTACTTTTAGGGGTCCCAGACTTGTCTCTGAGATGGGGCCCTTAAAGGTCCTGCTGTTGTACCATCGGGAACATAAATGCACCTTTCAGTGCATCTAAAACTACACAAGCCTTTTGGTCCAGTTATTAGCCATATATAGTACATAAGTCACAAAAGTACCTCAGGAAACATGAACACATTCCTAAGTGTAATTTTATGGACAAGATCTCCTCCATGAAACTGTAATAATCTAAAAAGCTTTCATCACAATTGTTCATTTCAGTCTTGGAAATCATCTTAATCTTGGAATTTCGCCATAAGCAAAGCATAATCTAAATCTGTGGTACCCAGGCAGGTAAGAGGGAAAAAAAACTGTCAAAATGTGAACATGCTTATATCCATTATCGTTACCGCTTATTCCCTAATGGGGTCACGGGGGGGGGGGGGAATGGAGCCTAACCCCATTGAATAATGGGCGAGAGGCAGGGTACACCCACCACACAGAGACACACAAGGACAAACAACCACACACACTCACAGGTCATTTGGAATGTCCAATCAAGCTAACATGCAGGTTTTGCACAGGGGAGGATGCTGGAGAACCTGGAGAGAACCCACGCAGACACAGGGAGAACATGCAGACTCCACACAGAAAGGTCCTGGTTCCCCCGGGGACTTGAACCCAGAACCTTCTTGCTGTGAGGCAATGGTGCTAACAACTACACCCCCATGCCACCCAGAACATGCAAATGTTAACTAAGTAAATCTAGAATAAAGCAGAAAAGTCACAGTAGATTATGAGAATAATCGAAAAGTTGAAGGCAAAGGTTTTAGTGATTAAAAACACTTTAAATGAAGAGCATCTCCTTTAAAGAGTTTCTCTGCACAGATTTAAACACCGACTTCTGAGTTTAGAAGCAGAAAAACGGGGGAAAAAAATCTGTTGACATTTTTATTGTGTACGAAGCCTAAATATAAGGTGGGAAAAACTTTTTTTTTTTGTTGTTGGGCTGTTTTTCGTAGAACACAGCTGAAGAGTTGTGCGTGTAAAAATGTGCTCAGGTTTCGCTATCAATCCTTGCAGTCACTGGGTCTAAGTTTCAGAACGGCCCTCGGCCCTGAACGGGCACACCAGGCCCCGAACAGCATTGTTGAGGGCTCCCTCAACAATGGCGTGCCCGTTTAGGCGCGCAGTGCGTTCACCACAACGCTTTACAGAGGCTCACAGAACACTTTCATGCCATCTGCTAATTTCGAGATGCTAAAAAAAGCCCCAACCCCCCCTAAAAGTTTTTCCATCAACTTCGGGTTTGGATGTTTAATGAGCATTCCTGACTCACAGGGCTTCCTGCCATGCTATCATTATAGGACTCCATAATCCACATTAGGAAACAGTCAGGCTGTGAATTGAGAGTTTGGGCTGAGGCTCATGTCTGACTTCTTTTTTTTCTTCTTTTTATATCATAAAGTCGCAGCCAACGGACCCCAAACAGACTGCGGAGAGGCCTCCTTTTATCCCCTAAGCTTCGACTTGATTGAGAAACTATTCTTTCTGAGCAGTTTCATTTGCAGTGGTGGAATATTTCATTGAGTGCCGCTGAAATATTGTCTCTGTTGGTAGAGACTGAAATGCCAATGTTCTCTGTGACTTTAGAAGCTTTTTTCAGTCCATTTTCAGCCCTATCCAGCTGCTTCAGTCCATCCTGAAACCTCTCCTCGGTTACCTCTCTGGCTCCATCTTGAAGCTTTGGTCTGTGAATGTCGTCGAGCGCTCGTCGCGTTTAAGGCCTCTTTATTTTGGACTCTGAGTGTGTGACCTAGCCAAAAATCACATTTTTTAAAGGTTTTTTTTCTTTAAAGGATGTTTTTTTTTCTCTCAGAGCCCTCATGTTCCCACCGCTTCTTTCCCAAAGCGACACACTTTGAAACAGCTTGTTATTTGACACCGGAGGCTGGATTTCTCAGAGTCTGTGCTAAACAGATCGCTTAATCTCATTCATGATTAGACCGAGACGACTGCCAGTCTGAACTCTTCAAGGCGGTTCATGAGCTTTGACTCAATAGTTATAAATGCTACATCTGATCCAAACTACAACTGTGTCACTGTTAACCCCTCAGTAAGGTCTTTGTGCCAATTTCTGGAGATAAATGTTCTTTATTATGTACATATTAGCAGGTATCCAATACTGACCTACGCAGCAACATGTAAATCCTTCAGTCGGCCTGATTTTTGCAGTTTTGCAGGCCGGTCATGCTAATTTTAAGTCGTTTTTTCAAACCCGCATGTCAAAATAGAAAAGGAGATGTGTCAGCATTCTGTCAGCATCACAACCATAATGACGACAAGTGCCTCGTATGGAGATTTTATGCTTTGAGCATTGCATTTGTATTCTTATGAGCTTCAATGATTAATATTACCAACCTGGATGTGACCATTACCCAGATGATTAATTTATTTACCATTACTTCCGCTTTCCTTACACAGTTGCTGAGAAGTTATTTCCCTTCAGGTCTGATCGAGCATATTTTGGAGTTATTAAATACACAATATAACTGCTGACGGGGATTTCACGGGATGCAGATTAAGTGTAGAAAATCTGAATGAAGCATGAGAACTATGTGAAGTGGCTTTAAGTGGCGTTCAATTCAATAACGACTAAATGGGAAGGCTTCCTGATTGCTGCTTAAATACACGGCACCTGGATGTGACTCATTCCCTCCAAACCAGCAGTGGGAGCAGAAGAGGCTCACACAGAGGTTGCCCATATTAAGAGATGATCATCAAACCAGACCTGCACACGGCCCTGACCGGTCACCAGTGAGGTCAAAGGTTTCAGATGACCCTAAAAATGACATGAAAATGCGAGCGGTCTGCTGTGGCTGAGCAAGTTTATCGTCCTACCTCATGTTTAAGCTTTTTCATCCAACCTGGAGCAGGGGGGGGCATGCAGTTTCAAAAGGGGAGCTTTGATTGTGACTTCCTGTCTGTCCTGGATCTTTCCAGAACTCTCGCCTGTTCGCGCTTTGGCCTAATTTAAGCCTAAGGTTTATCAGAAATGCTTTCCAAATGAGATCTTCAATGCACAATGTGGCCCTCTTTTCCTCGTGTAAAGCAACAATGATAGATCAGAAATTCCATTTCTCAATTACATGTTGATGTCGCCTTTAACAGATAAAATTGCTCACAAAGAGAATAAAAAATAGACTTAAAATACGTTTAAAAATATGCGTTTTACTGGTGCAGACTGAGAGCAACAGTTACAGCTTGTCCTTTACCCTATAGATGTTTTTACCGTTACCACCAGCGTCTAAAAAAATAAGTAAATAACACTTTAAGCTAGTAAAACATTCAGAAAATAACTATTTAAGGATCATGTCAAGGTTCCAGGTGTTTTTGCTATTTTTTTTTTCCATTTCTCAGAACGCCTCCAACCACTGTTTTGATAAATGAACAACAACAAGTAATTATTCTGAAGAAAAAAAAAAAAAAATGTAATTTTTTATTGTTTCCTTACAGCAGTTAGCAATATTTAACTATAGCAAGCGAAAAATAAATACAAATTCTTAAATAATTTCATTAATGCGTTTCATTCGACAGAGCAACAGTAGCATTTCACGTCAATGGGACAGAATCCAACGACAAAAGGCATGGCTTCCCTCTGAGCGTCCTTCCACCGGAACAAGCCGTCACCTCTTTCTTTCTTTTTTTTCTCCTGTGTTGTATTAAGTTTAGTCGCCATGGATTTGAGAGAAGGAAAAAAAAAAAAGAACGCGCAGAGAGGAAGCCATTGTAGTGTGACTGGACTGAGCCCGAAGGAAGCAGTTAGGAGACATGCGGGTAAAACATGAGGGGAATACTACAAGCATTCAGAATCAAAAACAGGAAATCCAAAAAGGGGGGGGAAAAAAACAAAAAACATAGAAGGGCTATTTAGAAAAAAAACAAAAAAGGTTTCCGATTTTTTAATTTACAATAGAAAGAAAAAAAGCATTTCAAAGATTGATGTGACGCTTGTAGGTCACGTTGAAATTCCCTGACGGATGTGGCGGCTCCGGGAGGCAGCGCTCTGAGCGGCTCCCACCGGGGCCCTCTCCTCCCAGGGGGGGGCAGGGGGGCTCCAAGCTGCTGAGGTGGAGAGTAGACCCGAAGAAACGCACGCACAACCTTACAACCCCCCCCACCCCCCCGCCCCCTTCACTCAGTGCATTCATTTGTCAGCGATCCCTCCGTGTGCTCTCATTTCCCTTTTTGGCTGCGATGTTCCCATGTGCTTTTGGCAGTTGTACGGAGGCCTGGGAGGGCCACATAGTCATTCTGGAAACGGGAGTTGGGCGTCCTCTGTCGTTTCCTCTCGCCCTGCGTGGTGAAGAAGGCGTCCTGGAAGCGCATGCTGGAGGCCGTCGACTGAAAAAGCCCCACAAACTCGAATAAGAAAAGGTCCCCGCTGTTACTTTTGTGGCATTTAAGTGTCGGATTTGTGGTTTGATGTTCGTCTCCAAGCAAGTCTCGTACTTACAAGGCGACGCTTCACCTTTTTAGGGAGGTCCTCGTCTAGCGTGTAGATATCTTCCCTTTTAGCCAGCACCTGAGAGCCGTCTTCAAACTCCACCTGAGGAGATTAAGAACATAGCCGTTCGGTTTAGGATCAGCCCTGTTCAGGGTTAAACTTCACAAGTTGATGATCTAAGCAAAGCCTTTCTGAAACACGGTGCTTTTGACTTTCCAGCTGAGAGGAGGAGAGACATTACAGACTAACTTATGTCTTTGCGCTCATTAAAAAAAATCAATAAAAAAAAAAAAGGAAAATAACATATCCAGCAAATACTGAGCGAGAGGGTGCATCTTTAGACTATATCTGGAACACAGCAAAGTTGTACGTCTTCCGAAGGGAAAGTGTTCGTGGCCAGAACTGTCTCAGGAATCTATCGCCACAAATAGATTGGCCCCATCTGTTGTGGATCAAGAAGCACAGAAATTTGCAACAACAATTGTCTGTGATGGACACAGGTTTCTGAGGTGTTGAGCCCCGGGGACGGCGCGTTGAAGATTTTAGGAATATCTCCTTGAAAACAAGAATTCTGTGCAGCATTTTCATACTGTAAATGAAAATGTGTCAGATAAAACCAGGTTGTACAATTCTAACCGGCTAAAATGTGAATATTTAGTATGAGCACCAGACCCTGGTGTCATTTCCTTATGAAGTCTTCTGGAAAACTTCACCAAGCTTCTTAAAGGAGATCCCAAAGCTCTCCTATGGATGTTAGCTGCTCTCTGTTCCACTCTGACTTCTTTGGCCCAGACCTGCTGCCTCGGTCTTTCAGTCTGGTTCGCCTCCCTGTTTCTCTGCCTTTAAAAAATGGCTTCATGCCACCCATCTGATGTGTCCACTGCAAGTGGGGCTGCAGCCGTGACACTGGTTTTCATCCTGCCATCTTAATCTGGTTTCATGCCAAACAGAGTTGGGGGCCTTTTTTTGGTTTGATGAATCATAGATCTGTGTTAACTGGTCTCACGAACAAAACAAAAACAAATTAAAAAAACCCCAATGAAAATGCTCGGGTGGAGGGAGTGCAGGGACATTGATGGGAAAAAAAGAAACAACGGGCAAAGGGGAACTCTGACAAACCTGCAGAGCTGCAGACCGGATCAAAAGATTCCAGGAAAGTGAAACATTTAAGGGTAAAAAAAAAAAGAGAGAGAGGTGGCTCAGGACCAGCTGACAATGGAAGAATCTTGTCGGGCTTTGCGGAACATCTGAGCCGTGCGGGGCTGAGCGTGTGCGTCACAGGTGCAACTGTGCAGAAGTAACAGCGCCACGGCTCGGCTAAATAAAGCCGGGAGTGGAAGCCCCAAGACTCTTAGCTTAGTGAATAATACAGCGAGGCTGAATAATGCAGGTTGTCACCTCCTCCTCCTCCTCCTCCTCATCATCACCCTCATCATCATCATCCCAGTTCTGCCTCTAGTTCCGCTTCCCTCCGAGAGGCCGACGGCCCACGTCAGAGCAGTCACGGCAGCTCTGACGTTGGGGGAGTTCAACGAGTCTGCCGCCCGACCGCCTCAACCTCTGGCTGTTGCCAAAAGGAACGATCAAATCTGTGTGTGTGTACCTGGTACATGTAGGAGACGCTGGATCCCAGGTATTTAGCACCGTAGAACAGCCCGTCGGGCCATTTGACTTGAACGGCCTCCCCGACTTCGGGAGGACCCAGGCTCATGCAGTCTCTGCTCTGAGGAGACAAGAGGGCAGACTTTCGGTCTCAAAAAGCCTTTCACGACAACCCAAATTCACTGAAGAAAAAAGAGGCCGGTTCGACATGTCAAATATGAGCCGTTAGGTTTACAGGTCCGTCATCAGCTTAGCCCAAAGTGTATTTCATCCAGATAGCAGTCTGTATGTGACCCCCAACAGGAAGTGAATAATGGTAATAAAGAATGCAGTGAAGTGGATTTTGCATTCTAAAATATATTCTTTATAGTCATTTTCACTACCTGTTTTGCACTTTTTTGCTTTGAGTTTCTGTTCTGTTTTTTGTTTTTCTTAAATGCTTTTTTCCTTGTTTGGAATGGGGTTTATCCATTAGCACCTTCTCAGCTCTATGACAATTTAAATAGGCGGGGTTCGCCTGAAGTCACGTGAGTCCTTGTCCAATCAGTTGCCGGCAATCTGCTTGTCGGCCTAACTCGGCACACCTGTGCCGCTTTTCGTCAGTACCGTACCTACTCAGCCCCGCACGGTTCGGCCCCGCACAGGTTTACACCACTTTAGTAGTTATCAATAACAAACACGGGCCAAACGGCGTGCGACGTCATTCATACGCGACACAAACACGAGACAACAATCAATGACGACGCGGCAACTGTAAACCGACTAAACTTCGGTGTTGGACAGCGGTGCTAGTCTGCGTTTCAGGCATTTACAACGTTTATGGTCAAAGAAATAATGGAGGGGCTCCCGGGAGCCCCTACATAATGTCCACGTAGCAAAAGATTTCACGCATGCGCACTGATCCTGATAAATACATTTGATCAGGCAAAGATTTCAAGTTATGAAGTTAGTCTAATAAAGTTAACTTGTAGTTCTAAACATTCTGGGGAGTTTTACACTATTTTTGTCTGCCAAAGTTGAAATGACATGATCGAAAATGCAAATTGGCTGATGACATGATCTAATTACATCTAGGGAGCTTTGGGTCAGCCATTAGCCATTTCTATAACTGAAGAGTTGGCAATGGCGTGTGTGCTAAAACTGTAAATCTTAGGGGGGCCAGCACCCAAAGAAATATACAAAAAACCAAGAATAAATCAATAAAACAAGCTGAGCTGAGCAAAAGTTGAAAGATCCCAGTGGTTTCTCCTCAGTTCCTTCCCATCTGGTCACTCTCTTCACCTATGCTTTTTTACTCTGCATTTAGGTTCACAGTTTTTTTACACTCCCTGTCAGATCCCCTTCAGCTGCATCTCTTTTCACACCACATGACTCAGTTATCTCTGTCTGCCTTTCTTTGTTCACCCTGGCTCCTCATTCCCATTTTTCACCCACCTTTATCTGTTACTTTTTCTGTTTTGTATATTTAGCTCTTAGTTACCCGGCTTGGCAGGGCCTTTTGTTATCTTTTGCTACAGAAAACTTGATCAGTTCCTCAGTTCTCTGCAGTGCCTGTCTGCACGCCGGGTACTTTTCAGTACCATCTACATGACTGCAAAGGCAGCAAGCGCAGCTTTCTCAAACAGAGCACAGGTTAAATCTGTCAGTATGAACTCACACCTGATAAAGGTGTGTCTTTGACAGATTTTTCACTTCCTCCAAAACCAAATTCCTACATCCTCAGCTTCTAGCCCCCGATTTTTTTCTCAACCCTGTGTCTTACACAGCTATTAAAAGCCGAGTCTAAAGGGTTAAAGGATTTTTTACCACACTTTGAGCACTGGACATGGAAGTGAAGAGAATGCCTTGTTGATTTGGTTCCCACAAGGCTCAAACATTTGGGATCTCCTAAACATCAAGTTGTGTGAAGGCTTTTTATTCATGATCCTTTTCAGACCCTGTTTTTTCCCCATCAAATGTCGCAAAAAAAGAACTGTTAAAGAACCTAGAAAAACGGGGAGAGTGACTCATTGAAATATGGGACTAATGCAACACACACAAAAGTGATGTATTTCAAAATGGAGGCAACTTTTTTTCTTTTTTTTTTTAAAAAACACACTCAGATAACTTGCAGGTGAAGAATTAAAAAAAATGCAAACCAAGTTTAATGAAACCAACAAAAAGAAAAAGAAAAAGGAAGGAAGGAAACCTTACCACAATGTCCTCCGGGTAGGTGTCATTAGAGAAAGAGCCGTCATCAAACATGACCTCGTAGAAGGTCTGCGAGGTGATCTGGGTGACTTTGGAGCTGTAGTAGCGCAGGTTCTTATGCTTGGAGATCACAGTTTGGCCCAGAGAGATGGCGGCTTGGCAGGCTCGCTGCTTCTGGTGGAAGAAAGAGTGCGGCCGTTACACAACCATACGAGAACGGGGGGGGGGAAGTCAAAGTGCATCCACATTGGGCACTACGCTACTAAATGAGAGGAGCTGAATTGCACTCATTTCCATCCTAAATCCACATGAGCCTTTTCTTATTCGCCGTTTGCCTCGAGGTGCGCTTCAGTCAGTGTGTGATCACGCTTAGAGGCTGGACCTGTCGTCTACAGTGGGGAGATGTTTTTCTGTCACTCTGGACTTTAATTTGAGATCCAATCAAACCAATGAGGACAAAGCCGAAATCCATGTTTGCATTTTATAGTTTAATTCACACAGTTAAGAGTCTACACCTTCCAAGTTTTAAAATGTAGACAAAAGAGACAAATGCTTCTTTAATTAATATTTTATTTTAGTAAAAATGAGCTGCACATACAAACTATTTCCAATTCGTATTAAAGAAAACCTTTGATTCAGAAATGAGGCGTTTCAGTGGTGTTGGCTCTGGGATAATCCTGGATAATCCTTTCTCTCAAAACTTCCACCAGGAACTCTGTGAAATGACACCTCCTGCTGGAATTGTACCAAAGCAGTGTCATTTCAGGCGGCTTTCACCTCAGCCGCGGAATCTTGTCGCCCTAAAAATAATGATGTGCGCTTGTTTCGTCTCAAACAAACTGAAATTCCACGTTTACATTTCCATTTTTTGAGACAGTGGTTCTGTTTTTACAGGTTAGGCAGTCACAGATCAGTCAGCTGTTCTCCTCTATCAGCAGGATAAACTTCCACTGAGCTGTCAGTGGTCACTATACACAATTTATTTTTTTTTGGTCCCTCGAACTTACAGCTGACGAACTCCGCGACTGGTGTCTATGGCAGGTGACTGACACCACATACGGCCAATCATCCGGCTCCATGGTTACACCGGCAGCATGGGCACAGGTCACGTGAAAGGAGGTTGGACAGCGGCCGCATGAGCACTGGATACAAGCCCCTGTCTGCCGCTTCCCTGCGCAGCGGCCGCGACAATAGATGCACTTCTGTGAACACATACAGACGAGACCAAGCCGTCAAATCCACATCTTCACAATTGAGGGCCTCAGGGTTACCAAAGGAGAGAGCGGCAGAATGCCTTTTACCGAAGCCATATTCGCGTGCACGTGATAAATACACAGACACAAATGAAAAAGTTTGAAAAAACGATGGATTTGGTATTAAAGTTGAACAGGTCGGCATTCAATCTGCTCGGAAACGCCGCCTGCTCCTCTGTTCCCCTGCTGGAATTCTCCACTTTGCTTCGTTGCGTCATCCTCCGTCTAACAGTGTGATTTTTTTTTTCATTTTAAGAGCTTTGTTCTTTCCTTTCATTCCCTGGAAGTCCATTTTGAATCATTTATGTTTACTGATGCATTTGAGTGAACCCGAGAGGTAGATAAAAATGTCTTTAAACAGGCAAAACTTCACTTAATACTTTACTTAATATTCCCACTGGTTCTGGAAAAGAACACTTATTTCTCCTTATCAGCCGAGCTTTTGAAATTAATGTCCAATTTTCATTTTAATAATGAAAAAAAAATCAATAACTGATCTAATGAATTAAACCAGACTGCATGAATTAAATGTAACCTCTCTCAGCCTTTCTTAATTCAGCTACCAGTAAAGGACCAGGAGGTACTGTGCCCCCCCCCCTCCCCCTCCTCCCAGGCGAACTGAAAAGGCGGTGTAAATCCCTCATTTGAAACGAAACTGAGAATCTTAGCTTTATCCTTTTTCTCCTATTAATGAAGCCTCTGTTGCTTCCTCGCTGCTCCATTTTTTGTCGGCTTAGGGACTTTTTGGTCGGGGTGTGTCTTGTTGACTAACTTGGCCTACATTTCAGAGAGCCTTTTCCCATACCTCCTCCATTATGGACAGCAATGTGCCCTGTCTGTCTTGTTTGCTGGCTGAGGCCAGCCTGACAAGGCCGTGACAGCAACGTAAAACCTCAGCGCATCTGGGGGGGGACTAAGTGCGTTTAAATAAGCGTTTTCCACACACACACACGGGGAGGCGAAACTAAAATAAAAAAAGCGAACAAAATGTGTCAGTGTGGGTTTTTGGGTTTGAAAGCGTGAGTGAGTCTAACTGTTTTCTTTTGCCCCCATTTTTCCATGCATGTGCTCTTTCTGCTGAGTGTATCTGGGTGCCTGTGTTGAACCATGCGTTAAGAACATTCCCACGGTAAATTATGAATGTGTGAGTGTGTGCATTTGTGTGTGTGCAGGCGCTCACTTGTGTGTTGTGGAGTGGTGAATTATGAATGTGCCTGGCTGATGCAGGGGCAATGGGTCCAATTCAAACTTTAAAAAAAAAAAAATACAAAGTGGACCAAACTGGACAAAAAGTTAAACCTTCAGCTAAATAATTACCTTTTTTTTTTGCTCAACTGAGACTTCCTGTGTGTTCAAAACACAGATGCCTTTTTTACGGGCATGTAGAAGAGATGATCATTATTAACATTGTATCATAATAATAATTAGTATCACTAGCCCACTAACGTTTTATATAAAGGTGAGACTGTATTCTTCTGAGAGCTTCTTAGTTGGAGAAACCTCAAATTGTGGAAGTGTCATAGATTCTGCTTTCAAAGTGTATAATCTGGGCATAAATCAGGCCTGCGACACATTTTCAGCATTGGTAACTATTGAATGTGTGCTGGTCCCTTAAAAAAAAAAATAGAAAAAGAAATTCCTTCCTCACATTCTGGCCACACTGGTCATGTTAGGGGTTTTTATGACCATCCCTCCTTCTCCAGTCTGGACAACAGTGCTGATTCTGTTCGCACTTTGGCCCTTGGATCGTACTTTAAAATCCAACAGGAGACAGATATCTGTGTGGCGTGAGAAGAAATGAGCTAGATCTCTTTAAAAGCCCTGTGGGTCTGTGCATCTGCAAACCCCGGCGTCTCATTTTAGTGTCGAGCTATGATTTAAAGTGGGTAGTTTGTAACATCTGATAGACTTTTATTGACTAAACTTATGTTGACAGAACCGTGGTAGTCTAAAATGTCTCAATCGCTCACTAATGAACAGCATCCAAGCTGTTTAAGGGACTCCCAACATGTGATTCATCAGCATGTTTAAGGGCTCGGTAATCACTCTTGGATCCAACTAGAAGCCCTGAAACAGTGGAACGACGTCTGGGATGTGACAAGCAGTCAGTAATCCGCCTGGGTTATCCATCTTGTGTTGAGAGGTGCTTTCTGTTGAGCTCCTAGTGCCTGCAGCAGGAAGCTAACTATAGTGGCAGCATGTCAGGTCTGCTGAGGCACACTCCAGCTCTCTCATTAAGCAACCCCACACACACACACACAAAATGCTCCAACATAAAGGGAGGTACATATACACTTTCATATCTATAAAAAACAAATAGGTATACAGAGAAGCCTTACACACGCAACACACACGCACAAAGAAAACTCCCCTCTCCACCAACTGGTGGTTAATTATCTAGCTCAGATTGTGGGCATGTTCATCTCACATTGTTAATTAGGACAGTGCACACTTCATTAATTAGACCAGGCCAGTCCTCAAGGACTGCGTGTGTGTCTGTGTGTGTGTTCCTTTACCAGTTTGTATCGCTGCATGGGGATCCTGCTGGTGTCAATGGGACTCCTCTTGGCCTCATCGGTGAACCTCGCCTCTGGCAGGGCCACCGCACACATTACATGGGCCCATCTACACAATACACAAGCACACACGCAAAAAAAGGGAAAAGACAAGGGGAAAGCGCGTCACGATGATTGAAGTACACGGACGGTTGGTCGGCAGAGCCTGCCAGATGAGGGATAAACATGCAGGGATAATCCCCAAAACAAAAGCCAGCCTCACTTGTCGTTTTGGGTTTTCTTCAGAGCTCCACCTCTGAGGTTACACAGGCAACATTCCTGAGGAAAAACGGGGGGGGGGAGAAAAGTGCATCTTCAGGTCACTGGGTCATGTTTGCAGAAGAGCTGTTTTATTTTTGGATGACGACCTGCGCTGAGAACCTTCATCTTTGGCGTCAGATGTGAACCAGCATCAGGGCTCATTGTCAAAAGCTATCCCAGGTGAGTTTGAACCTAATTTTTTTGTCCTCATGTCTTTTGTGTTTTCATGCTATCAGCCGTGTTCTTGGTACTAGACGTTTGCTAGTGGTCCGTATGGCTTTTTGAGGGCCAATCAGGAGAAGCAGACGTGAGGGGCTTAATTGCATTTCCCATCTTATTTCAAATGACTGAATAACTAATGATTTCATGAAATATTCATTATGATAACGCGTGAATGCTCCTTTAAACTCTGACCACCTGAGATTGTGCGATATTAACTCAATCTGGCAGCACTGTTGGCAGCACATGGCCACCGTGCTGTTCTAAAGCTGTTGTAACCCATGTAGCTTTAGCTAGTACAATTGGGTTTAAATAACCCTGCTTACCGACGAGCAGATTAGAAAACATTTGGCCTTTTTAATCAAGACAAAAAAGCAGCTGAATATCCGTATTCAGTCCATTTTTTGTTTTTATAGGTCAAAGAACAGATGAAAGCAAGAATAGAACATACAAATGCCACTAAAATCTCACAGTAAAGTTTCAAACAAAACATTTTTGAGAAAGCTTGTTTCAGATATGGCATTTCCAGATAGATTCAAAACAATACCATTTATAAAAAGGAATGGCTGGGTCATCCACACAATCTGAAAAAAAACTCATTTACACCCTGCAGTCAATGCACATCTGTGCGTTTATAATCTTAAAGGTTAATCAAATAAAGGCATAAACTCTCTTACTGCCGAGAAGCTTCCCTCTGAACATCGATCACATGACCACTGCTCACTGATGTCATCTGCAGCAACACCATAGCAACCTGAAAGGAGGGAGTGACGGATCAAAATCAGCGGCCAAAATATTCCCCTTGGCTTAAACACGACGCAGCTGTTTCAGTCAAAGCGAGCTGCGTGGCATCAGCGGACCAACTTCACAGGAAATGGCAAATCAGATGTAAGTTACAATGAAAGGGAGAGCGGGGAGGGGGGGATGCCACATCAACAATGTTTCCACAGATCCCCGGCTGGTATTGAAGTGGTTTTGTTCCATGTAGACATCCACTGTACTGCAGACTAAGTGGAAATTGAGAACTTGGTGGTCTGAATGTGTGTGTGTGTGTGTGTGGGGATATTTGTGTGGTCAAGACAGAAAAGGGAAAACAATACAGAGTTGCTGTGCGTGCACCCGATACCTCTTTGCATGTCTATCTGCTTCTAAACTGCACTTTCATTTCAGACGCAGCTCAAAAGCCACACTGTGTTGATGGTGTCGCTACACTCATTTTCTGGCCTCTTTTCCTGATGCGATCAATAGGAAAACAAAAGGAATTCTGGTTGAAATGTATACACGGCAGGCTTTTTTTCCCCAATCTTTTTTTTTTCTTTCCCTTCTGTATAAGAGACTTTGGGTCTGTGTTTGTGAACGTTGTCTCTGTTCCTTTCCTCCACGATCCATCACGAAAACCCAAAATAAAACCCGAGCCCACCTCTGTTTCCTTTCCAGAGTTCAAATAACAGTGTGAGCGGAGAACTGCACCAACTCACGCTCATTCTTGTGTCTCATAACCAAACTTGTGGCTTTTTCATCAGTGTCAAATGGCAGACACTTTGTCTCCCACGCACTAAACGCCGCGTTCCTTACACCCCAGAACGCGGAGAGAAAAAAAACTGTGTGGTGGGATCAGCTCTGTTACTGGAGTCCCTTTAAAATGGAGTGGATGAGAGAAGCTGAGCGAGGCCCCAGGATCAGACAAATCGAATGGGCGAGTGAATGTGTCAGGGGAACGTCAAGTGTGTGTATGCAAGGGCCCGTTTCTGGTCTGGGGCTTTTCGAACAGGAATCGTGTGTGTGTGGATGGAGGATTCACCCTCATTCAGCTGACGGGGGAAATAAAACGCTTTTAACCACAGATAGGGAGCGGGACAGGGACGGGGAAGAAAACAGAAAGATTGTGAAACGCAGACACGGAGTGAGTCAGGATTTAAACTCGCTGAACCCCCCCCAACAGAGACAGCAAAGAATCAAGCATGGCGTGTGGAAACAAACATAGCTGCCCTCTTGGGGCGTGTGGTAAATAGACCTCACGGAAGTTAAGCAACTGTGAAGAGCACTATGCAACACATAGCACGCGCTCCCGTTCCCTTCTGCGCACGTACTTGCGTGGACTTGCAGGCAACAGCCTTGGCAGCGAAGGAGAGGGGAGTTGCCATCCTCTTGCACCAGAGGGTTGGCGGGAGTCGGGGAGCAGTTCTGCTCCCGAAAAGAGAAGCAGATCTCGGGGACCAGGGGCTTGGTCTTCCTCAGCCCCGTACAGGGAGGCGTGGGGACCTCCACTGGAGAGGGGGGCTTGGACGCGTCCCTGCAAGTGGAAGATTTACTGTCCTCAGCTTTGTCGTCCGCCTGTTGAAAGAAGAGAGGGATTTTTTTTTTTAATACACAGACAGGGAAAGTGCTTTGCCCTCCTCTTTGATGATCCTGGTTTGCATTTTATGTCAGAGGAAAATTACACAGACCCACTCTGTGATCAGGAAGATTGGCTGCTAAAATGACAAAGATTACACGTTTCACATCACACATTACAGCAAGCGTTTTGATTGGAGCGGAGCTTTTTCTTTTTTTTTAAATCATGCAAAACTAAAAAAAAAAAAAAAAAGGAACAAAAAAAACCCCAACAGAAAACGCATCTTTGTTGTTAATTCAAAACAAACAACCTCCAATAAAATGTACATGCCAAAATTAAACTCTATAAATCCAAAAAGTGCCTCCCTGAACTGAAATTATTTCTGAATTCTGATGAAAAGGTTTGACTGTTTCACGTATAAAGTGCCATGGCCGATAAATGTCCAAACATGTCTAAGGAAAGGATGAGATGTTCATAATTCTAAGAATCTAAGAATTATGCACGTGAGCCATTACAACGGGAGTTGCGGCTAAAGGAATCTGCCTCGTGACGTGGGATAATACCTGATAATACGGCATGAAGAGCGTGCACACGGCACAGTGTGGCTGCATGGTGGCTGCCTGAGCATTGTACTCCCTCTCTGCTGAGAAGAGGCTCTTTCTGCTTTGCCAAAGGTAGACGAGAGGCTTCGCCCATGCCTCCATTTCCTGCTCCTCCTCCTCCTCCTCCGCCAGACTAGCTTCGGGGGGCTCTGAGTGAGGACAAAAATCCGGATTAAGACTCAATGTTCTTTATCGCCATTACATGTTCCAAAGATTGCATAAAAGAAATTACACGACAGGCTCAATCCATCTAAAAAATATATAAATAAAAAAGGCACACATCACAGCAGAATAGCTTCTGAGCTCCAGGGGAGTGACAAAAAAACCTGTGCTTCTTTAACATCTAATGATCATGCAATATCTTCTGCTAATTTCTTGCCCAGTACTGTGTTTTTTTCTGCCTACTTTGACTCTGATGTAATCATGTGACCTGGACAGGCACCACACTTTACAAAATGGTCTCTTAAACCCGTTTCTCACAGCCTAGTTCCCTTCGTCCTCTCACTCAGAGATAAACCACTACAGCAATTATTGGTTGTTTTTCACCATCCCATGGATGAAAAAGGTCACTGTTCGGGTATCTGTCCCTCCATCATCGTTAAAACCATGAAAACAGATAGATTATTTGTCACCAAGTCAGCTGCGGTGGGCCTGGGAATCCAGTTCGTTTTGGTTAATGTGTGCATTGACGTCAGAAGACTCGTTTGAGGGGACATATAATCTTAAAAAATGACAAGGGACCACAGAGGAAACGGATTCACGGTGGGACAGTGCAAATCTCCACTGATTTGTGGGGTTTTTTGCTCCGGTGACAGCATTGTGGTAGAAAACGAAGTCAGTTCTATGGTGTCTATAGATGTTTTTGGCAGCGCACACTCTGTTTAACACAGAAAAATACGTTTATTTGGGCTGCAAATCCAATTACTCTCACAGAACTTTATGGCTGTCGTATATTGGCCCATTCCAATCTGGCCCGCTGCCACCCACAACGGGAAATGTCCTGGAGTTTTTACTGCAACGAGCCGGGCTGAGCATGGTGGTAGGATGTCTGAACGTCTTTTTAAAGCTGAACCATGCCAATAACTCTTAATGAACCGTGTGTGTGTGTGAAAAAAAAGGCCCACCATCGTCACTGGCGGCCTGTTGTTTGACAGCCGTGGGCACGGCTCTTGCAGTGGGTTTCCTCAGGGGGTGACGCCAGCTCTTACTGGTCCTCTTGGCGGACAGGGTGGGGTACTGGGACACAAGGAGATCATCAGAAGACATCAGAAGAACAAGCACTCTGCATTTGAGCGGAAATCTGAACACTATAACGTTATGAAAGAAACACTCACAGCACAAACCTCCCCAGGTTCGAGGCCCAATTCATCACATTCATAGTTTCTTCCATTGTTTTCCTGGTCTTCCTCTTCCTCAGATGAGTCACTGCTGCTCTCTCCCTTGGTGCTGCTCTGCTGCTCCGCGTCCTCGCCATCTGATCCACCCTCTTCCATATCAGAAACCCCGTTTGGTCCTCCCTCTCCTATCCTGACCGTGTCTGACTGTGACTTCTCCTTCGGCTCCCTTTGGCTCCCGAGCTCCCTGCTCAGCGGCAGGGACTCGGCTCCTTCACCATCATCTCTTTGTAGCTCGTAATCGTCGCAAAGTCCCAGAGGTTCGATTGCACCGACCGAGAGTAGAGAGGTGGGCTCGAGTTGGGCCCAGGTGAGAGGCCCGCCTTCGTTTGCCTGGTTCTGTGACTGACGGAGGTCTTGGGCTGCGTCTTCCAGGTCTGTGACCTGCTTGCACTGGGGCTCGGCCCACATGGTGTAAGGCAGAGGGTCGTGGGAGAACTCGGAGGGGAGCTCTGGTTGGAGGCTCTGGGTGAGAACTGCGGGGCCCTGGGAAGTGAAGCTTTTCCAGATGCTGCTGGAGAACATTTTGGACTCGGGGAATGCATTCTGGGAAGCGCAAAGGGAGGAGGGATACGTAGTGTGGTGATTGAGTTGTAATGCTGAGTGGTTGCCGTTTTGAGAGCATAAGGGAGGGGGGCTTTTGCCGGCATCACCAGATAGCAGCAAGTCTCCATTGCCCCTTGGAGCTGGGTCTTTGGAGTTCTCTTTATTTCTGTCTGGTGAGCTGGGCTGCGGCTCTCCTTGAGGTGCAGCTCTTTGAACGAGCTCGCTTTGGGTTGCATCACTCTGTCCGGAAGTCAAAGCTTCCAGCTTTGTGTGATCCTCTTCTGCAGACTTTATTAGCGTTTCATGAACTCCACCAGATGTGATTTTGTGCAAACCGCTGGCAGATAAATGAGCCGTGCATCCTTTTGAACCAGACTCTCCTGCTCCTTCACATTTAATTGGGGAATCGAACGGCCGGCGATTGACTTGTTCTGCTGTGCCGGGTTCTCCTGAGTCGCTCTCTTTCTCCCCCGCTTTGGCTCCCGGTAAGGACCCGGTGCTGGTTAGCGACTCCCTCTGGAGCACAGGTGCAACTTGGTGGCTGCAGGATGCAGACTTTGGGAAGTCAGTGAGCCCATCGTCGGCCGGGGTCAGGGAAGGCATCTCCTGGGTCAGCACAGGAGGCAAAGGGCAAGCTTCAACCTTTTCATCGGGCTCCGGTGTGAGCTGTGGCATGTCCACGGCATTCCTCTGTAGAAGAGGAGGGAAAAGGCTTTCCTCGATGCCGCCTGCTCCTGCACTGCAGTCTTGCAGCGAAGGGGAGCACGTGGCAATTGATGTGTAAATATCGCCCTCTGCTGGCTCATTCTTCAAATTATAAAGTGCTTCTGTAGTGGAGTGTGGATTGACATGTTTAGAATCACTGGAAGAGTCCGTTTGCTCTGGTGTGGTGGTGCTGTTAGTGTGATTATTGGAACCCGTGTCCATGCCGTCGGTGTGCAAAGGCGAGGAACAACACATCTGCGCCTTGGAGTCTGTGGGACTCCAGTCGTTTACTGGCTCGGCAGGAGAGTTTGTGTGGGAGGACGGGCTGAGTTTGTCGGATTCCAGAAGCGTAATCCTTACGGGGTCCCCCATGGCCGAGAGGTCGGGGGGGGCAGAAATGGAACACCTCAACTCATTCATTGTCAGATGTGTCTGATTGGCCTCTGGACTTTGGAGCCCGCACCCTGGAAGGTGCTGAGGGTCGAGAGTTTCATTTTTCGGCGTAGCGGGAGGGCTGTAGTGGGAGGTTTGGGTTGAGTCCTTATTAGAAAAGCCCAGACTTTTGCTCTCGACGCGATTGACCTTCACCACACACATCTGTCTGCAGGGACCTGTCAGGGGCAGAGAGACAACATCTCAGCTGAAACACTTAGAAGCTGTCGGATATCCAGTGTCTGCATCGCTGTCTTACCACTCAGCTGATTCTGGTTGTGCTTGGACACGCCTTCGCTCTTCTTCTCTTCCTCCTTAAAAGTGGGCGCTGCCACCGACTTTCGCACCTTGGGTGCGGGCGGACCGCTGTGGCCTTTCCTCTTGCTGCCGATAAATGCCGAGCAGCTTTCCAGGCCGACCGGCTCCTCCGTAGTCCTGAGGCGCTTGGAGCGCATTCGAGAGTGGCCGACACTGTAAGAGGGGAGACATAAAAAAATACACTATTTACATAAAAAAAAAGAAAGGCACCAAAGATAAAAGCACATTTTTATTCAATTTGTTATTTAAAGTAACCACTTTCCCCACACCGTTTGGCACCACTTGTCTCTTAGGTTAAAAACACACTGTTCAGCATACCACCCTTTGTCAGAATGTAACATCCAAAGTAGAAAGAGTATGAGTACAGTACCCCTTATTAGCAGATTTGGTTTTCTGGCGCCTCTGCACCCAGCTCTGCAGCTCCGGTGTTGTGCTCGGGGTGGCAATCGTGTGGTCAATAGGCGTTGCATCTTTGCCCAGCATCCAGTTAGCGTACCGGTCGGGCTGAAAACGCTTTACAAAGGGTTCCATGGATATCTTCACCATGTCTTTGCTACACGTGCACTGAAAAAGAGAAAGAATAAGAGGTTTTAAAAAATCTATCTAAAATCCCTATCTGGGCGGACCATATGTTTTTTAACATTAGGTTCCATTTGCATTAGAATTCATTTTTAAGGCAAAAAAAAACAAACAAAAAAACTAAGGAATGTTTTCCTGAATGCACCTGCGTGGCCACCTTGCCGTAGTCTATCCAGCGCAGGGTGGCAAAGTTAGTGGATTCCGCACAGTTGAAGCCATGATTGAATCCAGCGTGGTAACCATACGGGAAGGTGATCATGAACTCTCCGGCTTCCTGAGTTATCTGATGGGTGGGATGGAGGTGGATATGTAAGAACAGAGGAGTGACACAACACTGTGGTGAAAACAGACACGGAATACACAGGCTTTAACTGTGCGCCACCCAATATCTCTACCTTATCAAAGGGGATTCCATACTTCTTCAGGATGGAAGGGGAGATCAGAGTCATCTTGTGACGAAGAAAAGCCTCACAACCCTTGAAACTGTTGGGAAAAAATCCTGATCGATAGAGAGAGAGAAAGTTTCATAGTTGGAGGAAATAAATAAATAAAATAATCCTGCAATAATCTCAGCGGCAGCTTTCATTTGTTGATATAATAATAATATTAAAGGATTAAAGACCTCATTAATAATTGCAAATAAATGACAGGCTCCTCCTCTGGCAGTGAGGAGAACTTTATTTCCCTGAGGCCTTTTTTTCTAGAAACTCCTGTGTGTTTACCAATAACAAGTGTGCAAATTTGCCTGTATTCGTTCTGATCACCACACCTAGCTACCTCCACAGTGCACGGCCACTTCTCTCCTTCTAAGTTTAGGTGTCGCTTATTGTTCTGTCTGGCTCCTCTGTTGTTTCTTCTTGTTTGCTTTAAGCTTCCTTTTGTTGTTCACCGCATTTTCCAATGCATGCTGATTTGACTTTTCTGCCCTGAACATTTGTGTCGACTGTGAGAATTGAGTGTTTTGATCTGAATGTAAGGAATGAAAAAGCCAAATCCATTTAATAATCATTTTACCTGTAGCCAGACGCTCCAGTCTCTTCCCGTGTTCGGGGGGGATTGCATACCTGGGAGAAGTGGAGACACATGGAACACACGGTTAGTTTTTCCCTTTGTGTGAAATTCTGCATATGGATATAAACAGAAAGTTAAGAGTGCCATCAAGTGGTAGAGAAAGGGTCAATGTTCTCCACCACTGTGCTGTTCAAGAAAAAAAAACACATCTCCTCTTAGATGTGTCACATAATTTGAGATGGCATGTTTAAAATGTGTTTCAAAAAAAGGTTTCTAAAATATTTCTCAGTATTTGAAAAAATAATGTAATAAAAAGGAAGAAAGAAAAAAGCTATTTGTTTTCTGCTGAGCAGTGAAATTCATGGAATATCAGGTTGACATTATTCTGCATTCTTTTTTTTTTGCACTGTTTTGCTGATGTAATCTGAATTTGAAACCATTTCTTGCCAAGAAAACCGAAGAGCATGGCAGAAATCCATCAAGACTTGACAGGGCGTTCCATTTCTGTCATCAGAACAGCTGTCAACGAGAGCGAGGAGCGGTAAGATGAGGACGCAGAAGTGAAAAGAGGTGCATCCCTGAGCCGCTGCTCTCCCGGGAAGAGGTGTCAGAAAGTGAAATGTGTGTGTCTGTTTATGTGCGTGTCGCTGTGTGGCTTTGACACTGATCCCTGCAGGGTATCGCCCCTCTAACGAGCAAAATCCCACTTGGGTCGACCTGAATTTGCTGATTAAAACAAACCTAAGAGTCCTAAACTAACACTATTGCTGGTGTTTTTACCTTTAGAAAAATACTATGCTACTCGTTGACTGGGTGAATATAATGTTTTTCTTGCACTGAAGCCCTGACAAGAAAGACATCTCCCAAGAAATCAAACCAGCCAACTCTTCTGGAAAGCAACACAGCCCCACAAACACCCTTTCCATGGACAACCAGCTTTGTACCTTTTTCTATTCCTCTAAATATCTCCCAAGGCTATATACAGACAGTTATGGGAGGAGATCTCCACCTCACTGTGCAAACAAGGACTGATGGAAGTAAACCATTCAAATTATATTCACCAGACTTGGCAAGCAAATCAAAGGAAAAGTGACATGGTAAGTCATTTCTGACCTAAATAATCTGGTTCATGAATGTAGAGCAAAGACAGGAGACTCTGCAATCACAACTTTTTATGCTTGTTTTTCCACTCAGTTGTCTTTTGATGCCACCGTTTGATTGCTGGTGTTACGGGGCACATTAGAGCTCTAAAATTTAAAAACTAGCCCATTAACACAAGAGAGGAGAGGTCCTGATTTGGTTTGACATAAACCTGGGGGCACGTAAACCACGTTAGCAACTGGTCCAAAAAATGTGAGATCAGTCCAAAAGATTAAATATTCTCTGTGATAAACCGAAGAAGACGGGTCACCATTTCCATTTGCCATGACTCCTCCCTGACACTGCAAAACGGTTGTTCAAGATTCATGGATGTGACTTCTTACAACACCATGAGTTACAGATGTAGGGGTTGTACCCCGTACACTTTCCCCTCATCCCCGTTTTAGAAGTACAAGCTGAAATAAGACATGGAATGAGCTCTGGGTAAATCTCTGACACATCTTTGGCTAAAAAAAATCCAGCTTTAAAGGCAATACGAAATGAGTGGGATCTACTTTCTTCTGTCGTGTCCGAGCTGTGAGTCCACCAGCAGGACCAGCTAAGCAGAGAACCACACGTCAATGACCAGAGCAGAGTGCCACTCATTTATCTGCACTATTTGTGAAGACAAATCATTTAGCTGCTGTTTTTTTTTCTTTTTTATCTGATGTTACTGAGAGATCAGAAACAGAGTTACTTTTGAGATCAATGCCCCCATCCCGCTGCTGGCTTTGAGGGAGAGCAGGTCAAAAATCTACTTTTTCTCAGGTCTAAACTGAGATTTTTCATTAAGATTTCTCATGTGGTGGCTTAAAGATATGAAGGTCTAAAGTGGATGATAACCTCTAGTTTAACTTTACCTCACAGGCTTTAGGAAGCTAAAGTACATCACGATTCGGTTTGGGCTTAACATTTTGACTCTGGTCTTTTTTCCTTTTGCTCGTTTAATTTCCTTTCGAATACAAATCATTTTGTGCAAAAAGAAATAAGTGATGATGTCAGGAAATGCTATGCTGAAAATCCTTTGCCCTGTTTGAAACCTGCTGAACTTGAACTGAAACAGAAAGTGGAATTCTTGGTATATTTTCACTTTGTTGGTAACACTCTCCGCACTCACCAGGACTTGGGCTCTCCGAAATGAAGGTAGTTGATGCTGTAGAGGTCCATGTCCTCTGTATGCCAGGAGAAGGTGGTCTTCCACATTCCAAAGTACAGATACGGGGTGTTGACCCCCTGTATGGAAACCCCACAGTCCTCTTCGATCAAATCCAGGATGGAGTTCAGGTGGCCGATGTTCCACTCTTCCACATCCTGGGAATTGGAAGCGGGGGTTTGACTTTGGTTTCATACTGACAGTGCTTTCCAGTCTAATTGCAACCAGCTTGATAAAATATGCAAACCACTGTAAAATCTGACATTCACCAACCAAACAACCAGGACTGACTGGGTCTGGTGTAAACGCGAGGAAATATAGTCCCTTTTCCTGTGTTTAAGTGATAGGCAAAGGTTGCTCCTCTGAGGTGCAACTGGTTAAACAGGTTTGAGACTTTATTTGGTCGTACCGAAGATGAAAAACGATCCAAATTGGAGGGTAAGACCACAAAGGTTTTACATGAACTAAGAGAGAGAGACAGTTCGGCCATTTGATAAAATACAAATAATTCACAGAATTTAAAAGTTTTCTGATTATGAGAATTCTTATTTGTTGACAGATGAAACTCTCCATTTGTGCATATGTTAAAAGCAATTACAAATAAAGAGAGTAAGTTTAATAAAAGCTTTCACTTCTAAAGCAAAAAAAAATCAGGTTTCAACGTAAATATTGCTACCAACGGCTATCATTGACCTAATCGATAGAAGCAGATCAGTGACAGAGTGACTAACCAACATTTCTAGGCAAAGATGGAGAAAAATAGAAAGAAAGAAGCCCAGACCTCATCGTAGAGGCTGCCGCTGACATCAGCCCCATATATCGGTGAGACGAAAGTGAGGTTCTTCCAGTACTTCCTCTCAAGGTCTTCATAGTTCAGGTAGCGTGGTGTACAATACCTTTAAGAAGAGAAAAGAAAAGAGGTCAGACGTGTCCATCTTACAACAAAAACTTTGAATCCAGAAAGATTTGATTTCTAATTAAATCACAGGGCACGGACCTTTCAAATTATGACCTTTGAATTGCTACATATTCCAATTAGAGTATTAAAAAAGAACAATAAATTGGCAAAAGAACCCTTCTTCCATGCAAAACAAAAGCTGAGTACTCACATGTCGCTGTTGGCCAGTCGCCTGAACTCCTGCACACTGAGAGGCTTTTTCTGGATGTTGTACTGAGTGAAGAGCCCCGACTGGCCGGCCACCATCTGCTGAATGGGCGCGTCGATCATTAAATCATCTATGTCGTCATAGGTGCGGCGGGGCTTCCAACCTTTAGGCGGAATGACCTGGGGGACACACGGAAGGGTGATAATTCACAGCTTAGAACAAAAAAACAAAAAAACTCTGCTGTGACATCTACTAAATACATCATGATCGTGATGCGCTGCTGTAGATACATTGAGACTTTGCAGAGAAATGCTGGCCCTTCCCTCCCGTTTTCTGGATGCAAGCTCATCTCAGACCAACGGAAAGAAATGCTCCGATTTCAGATAGGTCCACCTTTCTGCGGCTTAGTCGGAAATTCAGCGTTTTAAATTGAATGTGTCAGAGATGAGAAAGACCATCCAGGCTGTAAGCAGTAAAAGGAGCAAAACCACCATCTGTTCTGGAGAGGGAATTGGTATTCTGATACTCAGCGGCAAAGTTCCAGACTGCCTTCTTATAGACATTGTGTCCAGGTGTGTAGGCAATGGAAAGCGTATGGCACACAATGCCGAGTAGCAGATTACATCTTTTACACAGCAAGACTGGATACAGATTTCTCATGTAAACTTTTTGCGTTTTTTATTCTTATTTCTTAAGGCATCGTAAAATAATGTAGTTGAATGTAATGTTATTGAATCTACCAACTTTTTGGTGCCGTTTACATCAAACACACATCAACACATTCATTATTTTGACTTTTTCTAATTCCGTCTGAAGATTTCTTCAGACAACTCTTAACAAAACCTCCCGTCAGCGCAGAATGATGGAACTGCAGCCTTTGGGATGAGGACCCACCTTAGCCAGGCCGGCGCGGTGTGCGCCCTGAGACTCCATATAAACCAGGTACTGGTTGAAGTCTTTGAACTCTTCCATGGTCGGCCTGAATGTCATGATCTTGCAGGTGGGGTTTGCAGAGGTGTATGCCCCTGCTCCCGCCATCCTGCAACCACACTGACCTGAACCTACAGAAAAAAAGAAGACGGGGGGGGAAAAAAGGGATGATGTTTAAAACAGGGGTGAAAAAAAACATTGCTAACAGCCAATTCATATTAAGATGATAGGGTAAAAGCTGAATTTCATGGTTATCTATTAATCATTGTGCCAATGTTATCATTAGGATTTTGGTTTTCATTTAATAAAAGCTTAAGCAAAACTAAATTTAAAAAGATCCCATCTGCAGTGTAGTTACTAAATTACTGATAATCCATATTTTTCATGTTGATTGAGGCGTTCAGGAAGTGCTTTCCCAACAATTATTTTAATGTGGGGCGTGTAGTTCGAAACTCCACCACTAGGTGGAGTTAGAAGCTCGTCAAGCGTAGTTTTGATCCCTTGAACCTTGTTGATGCCAATATCCCACATCATGTTTTTGTCCCATCCACCCATCCCACTCCCAACTCTGACTTTACTGTGCCTGCACACAAAGGAGCACAATGCCCCGCTCGGAGCCACAATTTCGAACCTTCATTTCCCCCTTTTAGCGTGACCTCACAGCCGTCCACGTTATAAAACAATGCGAACTAAATTACTTAACACGGAGCTTATAAAACAGGGTTAACAAAAACAATAAAAGGCTAATCGATTCCAAAAACACCTACTGTTAACAGTCTCACTCTTTGTCCATGTAATACAGTAATTATTTAAAACACGAATGTTGAGCACATTCGGCCTTTTAAGAAAGTAAGATAGACCCTTGCTCAATTGCTGGGGAAATAAATCTGTTAAAAACACCATTAGCACGCGTAGCTTCGCTAATCTTTGTTTGCCAGCGCAACTAGCCTACGTTCTGTTATGATGCCGAGCAATGGCTGAACAAATAGCGCCGCTTGCTAGTTCAGCTGACTAGCTAACTTAATTTTACGTGGTAGCCTCATATGGTCCTCTTTAACTTTAATTAGACATGAGCTCACGGCACAAGGTTCCCTTGTCTTTTAGCAACAGAAACCGGAGAGAGGAAAGCCTCACTGCCTCCTAAGCTAACCTAGCTGCAACATTAACTAAGTTGTTACTACAGGAGTGACTGGGATTTAAATGCCCCTCGCAAGGTGGCTGCACGCAGGCCCGTGGCTACCTCCTTTGAGAGTTCGTGCAATTCGGAATTATTTAGCTCGCAATATAACTGTTCAGAATGTCGGTAGATACATTTAAAAAAGAGCAATAGTCAAATGAATAATGACGACGCAACCAGCCCGAGACGGCCACTGGCACGATAGCGTGCCAACTTAAGTGGCTGGCAACGCTAACAGTTAGCTGTTGATAGCTCCGCAAAAATTCTGCACAGGAGTCGCGAAGTGCACCCCTTTCCGTGACACTTGGACACGGACCCAGCTACCGTGCACTATTCCCCCACATTCCAACGCAAGTTCGAGGGGATTTTTTTGTTTTTACCTTGAAAAACGGAGTCGTGCTGTTGTTTATGTCCTTCCTCGTTCGTCCAGCTGATTCACATGACAGCTGCTGCTGTTGCTTCTCCCCTTCGAAGAGCGGCTGCGTTCCGTGTCTCTGCTCCGCGCTGCCCTCTGTGTGTGTGAGCGTGTGTTTGTATGTGTGTGTGTCTGTGTGTGTGAGCCGTGGTCATAGCCGTGGTGCGGAAGTCCCATCCGTGCACCGTGAGATCTGCGAATCAGCAGGCGAGCTGCTGACCTGGACCGCGGCCATGGCAGTGAATTAAAAAGTGCACCTGCATGGGTGTTAGGACATAAACTGTGACAGGTCTGACTAATAGTGTTTAGTCCACGAGCACCCTTCGGCGTGTGTGATATTTCTTCTTTTTTTTTTAAACTACTTAATGTTTGTTGTATTCGGTCCAAATAACTGTATGGAACATCGTGTCCAAGAGCTGAATCCGTGTAAACATGATGCTGATGAATGTTGGTAACGCTATGTGATTTATTTCTAAATAACGAACCACTGGTTGATCAGTCCCCAGCCCAATGAGGACTTTTTAGAATGCAAACATTGTTCTACCCCGGCTCTAAAATTATGTCTAAAACGTATAGTTTTCTGAAGCTTAAAAAAAAAACCCAAACTCTTGCACCTGCAATCAGGAAACTCAATTGTTTTTAGAATGATCTGACTGGTTAGAATGAAAAAGTCCATGTATAGTTATGATACAAAAGCCACAATAAAGATGGTGTTACAGCATCTTCAGTGTAAATCCTACAATGTTGTTATGGGTTTCAAAAGTAGATCTTTCTGTAAAATTGATGTGAATTCTGGAGCATGTGATCACATTTTGCACCATTCATTCATTTTCCACACCGCCTATAGCAAGGGGCTGGAGCCTAGTCGCTGCTATCATTGGGAGAGAGAAAACTCACACACGCAAGGATAACATGCAAACTCCACACAAAGGTCCCCAGCCGGGAGTCCAACCAGGAACCCTCTTGCTTTTTACATTTTTTGGGATTAATTCATTTATTTGGTTGAGGGCTTTGGAGCAGTAAGAAATCCCTTCCAGACTGGACCAACTGAAGGTCAAGAGAACCCAACAATTCCAAATAATTTGTCTGTAGTTCTAATCTACATGATGTGGGGTCTACTTTGTGGGCAGCATCACAAGCAGAGATGCCTGCAAGACTAAAACAATCATTCACTGATCATACCCAAGACAGCTTTGACTCCCCAACAGAAATGACCCCTTTGAGTGCAAACTGCCCTCCAACACACCCTTTATGATGCTTATATGAAATTGCTGATCATATATATATATATATATGTATATTTTACTGGTCTCAGAAATGGTTTTCGGTATGAGTGGAATGCCAAAGTAACTTTAAAGGTGATAGCTAGAATACAGGTTATCCAACCAAAGATTGCAAGAGTACTGCTTTCCTGCCCATGGTTTAAATGTTGTAACTCATTCGAGTTGATTGAGATGGCAGTTCAAAATATAAAGCAACTGCTTCTTTTTGAATTAATAGTAAATGTTTCTTGTTGGAAAGTCAATCAAACCACACAAAGATGCAACATTTCCGGGTAACTGCCCAAATGGCAAAAAACAACCACGGAGAGGTGTAGAATTATCTCACAGGGCCCAATAAAAGGATAAGATTTATTTATCATGATGCCTGTTAAGTGTACATACAACACAATGAAATGCTATGGGAAAGAAGACAACAACCCAAAAACGCTCAATAGGCTCAGACGAGTCGGCTGATGGAAGGCTGCCACAAACAACAGACACACAAAATGCAAACATTGAGACTAGTACTGACAACAAGTAGTCCAAAAATAGCCATACAAGCACAGACAATTTGTGCCAATATGGAACTTTGTGTGTTTACCCAGATACCTTTCTTTACTGTAACGGGTCTGTGAGAGGCCCATTGTAAGTAGCTGTTGCAGTGTACGTTTATTTGGGGTCATTTGCATTAGGTAGTGTGGAATAAAGGATACTTGGGTATAAAGTGTGACCGTTTTATTTGGACGACTGAGAGCTTTGGTGAGGAGCAGATGTGGGAGGTGCAGTGACACTCGGCGGACTGGGAGGGTCGCTGATGCCTCACCGCAAACATGGCTGCCCAGGATGAACTCAGTAAGTTTCTCTCTGCGTCATTGACGACTAATGTTTTCTTTACCGGCGCTCCGGTGGATGTCAAAAAGCACGGGTCTTAAAGTATTTCGTCCGCTCTACCTACCGAGGCGTTTAAAAAAAAAATGGGGATGCATTTCCAGTCAGTTTACAAACGGGGCTGGGAAAGCAGCTAGCTGCTCGGCTACGCCGCTAGCTGGAACGCTAACGTCAGAAAGGCCGTTTGCCCAGTCATGGTCAAAATGAAAGTGTCACATTGACTGTGGGGATATTTCCGTTTAGGGCACTTTTAAGCTACACGTTTGCTACTAGGACGTTGGGGACGTTTGGGCTTAAGTGCAAGGGGTGTCAGGGCTTGTAAAAAGCCAGTAGGGGTAACGTGGTGAAGGAGCAAATTGCGGGCACAGTCTTGTCAGGGGTTGCTAGCTGCCTGGTGAGCTATGCCTGGAGTGAGAAGGCAAGGCAGGCTGGTGGTTGCACCAACACAGCAACTGACAGGATGAGCTTATCAGCACGACTGGGGAGACATTTTCTTCGGTTAAAGCTGGGGTGTTTTTTTCTTCTTTTCTTTTTTCAATGCTGTATGAAACAGGCTGTCTGGATCTAACCTTGTGGGCTATAGGTTGATAGCTGAATGGGAAGATGGTGGGAGAGATGCCCACACCATATGAGAAATGCTGTTGATTTTCTATTTGGACAGATCAACTGGAACGCGTGTTCCTTCGCCTGGGCCACGCAGAGACAGATGAGCAGCTCCAGGACGTTATTTCCAAGTTCCTGCCCCCTGTCCTTCTCAAACTCTCCAGCGTTCAGGAGGGTGTGAGAAAGAAGGTGAGAAAAGCTGTTGCTCATCTCTGTGCTTCAAATGGGCGCTTGGGATAGATAGATGTCTGTGTTACACAGAAATCCTGTTGCCTTCAATTAGCTTGGCTTGGTCTCTAACTAAGGAGTGTGTATTTCTGTATAAGCCTAACCCTTCTTTCTTAGGTCATGGAGTTGTTGGTCCACCTGAATAAGAGGATAAAAAGCCGACCAAAGATTCAGCTGCCAGTAGAAACTTTGCTGGTGCAGTATCAGGACCCAGCAGCCGCTTCCTTCGTCACAGTAAGATTGTTAAAAAAAAACAGGGTAGAGGCACTCTACCCACTCTTTTTTTCCCTCCCCACCCATCTCTGTTATTTATTTGGAATACCAAATTGGAAACCGGCCCCTTGCCCGAGACAGGCTTTACAACTGGTTTATTTTCTTTGCAGAACTTCACCATCATCTACATTAAAATGGGTTACCCTCGCCTGGAGGTGGGAAAACAGTGCGAGTTGGCCCCGACCCTCCTCACTGCCATGGAGGGGAAGCCGCAGCCACAGCAGGACAGGTGAGGGGACCCGCTCGCTCGGCGTCCACGTTCAGGATGGAAACCACCGATTGAGTTATTCTCAATCGAGCAGGCTTTGCGTAATTGTTCCCTTACATTTTGACCTCCTTCCTCGTATCAGCCTGATGCACCTGCTGATCCCCACTCTTTACCACATGAAGTATCCCGCAGACGCGTCCAAAAGCACCTCTTCTTTCAACCTGTCTGAGCGGCCAAAGACGGTGCACCTGCTGCTGGAGTTCATGCTGGATGTTTTACTCATGCCTTATGGGTGAGCTGCCGCTGGGAGCCTACGGTACTTTGATCGGCGGCGTCGGGAGTTTACTCGGCTCCCCAAGTGAAATTTAAACTCATCCCCTCTCCGATTACCCCCCCAGGTTTGTGCTAAACGAGTCTCCCACTCGGCCTGCGCCCTCCCCCACCGCCCAGGGAGGTTCTGCAGATGGGGCGGTGGCTGCCAGTGGGCAGGGTCTCCCCCAGCCTCCCCCCGGGATGAGCGTGTATGCTGTGAAGAGGGTGATTGGAGAGGCCCAGTGGAACGCTGAGCAGCTGGAGCAGGTACAGGAACTGCTGTTGGATTTTGAGTCCCGGGTGTCTCTCTGTCTGTTTTGGCCAGATAAAATGGAATCAGACCTCGAGCCGCTCTCTGCGGAGAACGAGGTGTTGGAAATAGTTTGAAAAATGGTTGGCAATTAGGTACATAAATACATGCATCGGATGAGATAATATGCAGGGATGATTGCTTTATTTAAATCCAAATGCATAGATCTGTTGAAGTCAGATCCAGTTTGGGTCATTCCTTTAACAAATAACGTTTAAAAAAAGAAATGACTGCCCTGTAGGGTGTTAAGTCTTTAGACTTTTTAGACTTTTGTCTTAATGTTTCCCCACCAGGTGAGTTAAGAGTGGTCTCTTGCATTTCTTTTTTTTAATCCAGTGTGCCTTTTGTTTAGTTAGTTTAGTTTAGAAAAATTCTTAGGATTTCCAGGCCCTGAATCGATTGTCATGTCACCAGCTGCTCGTTTGAGGCCGATTTCACCTTAGAACCAGTCTCAGATGAATTAAATTCAGTTGCTTTCCCACTCATCTGGATCGAGCCTGAAAGCAAATGGCCACCGTGTCGAATACAAGCTAATGCGTCGTTGCGCGCCTCTCCGGTGTCAACAGTGCAAGCTGGGCATCGTGAAGTTCATCGAGGCGAAACAGGTCCCGGAAGTGGAGACAGTGGTGCACCTGGTGGTGGCGTCGAGCGACACCAGGCACAGCGTGGCCACCGCCGCCGACCTGGAGCTGAAGAGCAAACAGAGGTGGGTGAACCTGCATCGCCAACTCCTGAGTTTACTAAGCAGAGCTGTTGTGGAGAAGGTTCCAGAAAATAGGGGTGAAAGTGATCGTTTAGGTCCTTACCTGACCGTCTGTGGGTGTGTGGAGACAACTGGTTGTATTATTTTTTGGGTGACGTGCTGGTTTTGGTTACATTCCAGCATCATTGACTGGAACAATCCTCTGATTATCAACAAGATGTTCAGGGTGTATCTGGGAGACGTGCCTCTGAAAACAAAGGTTTGTAAACCCTTTTTTTTTTAAGTTGTTTTTTTTAAACTCATGTTCGCCATTCTGAGTTTTCCCTATTTTCCGGCCCAGGGTGGCGGTATGAAACAGGAGCTGAAACACGAGCCAGTCAGCACCAGGGTCAAAATGAAGATCCTGCCGCATCTGCTCCGGTCCCGTCTGGCCGCGGAGTGCTTTCCTGCCAACATTCAGGTAGGCGCTCCGGCTCGGTTTGGCCCGATCGGCAGTCATCGGCAGCTCTCACAGCTTCGACTTTCTTCCAGGTGGTCTACGACGGCCTGTTCGGTGCCAACACCAACAACAAGCTGCTGTCTCTCACCTTACAGTTTGTCCATCACATCTGCATGGTGTAAGATGAATTTCTACTGCATTCTCTCTCGGCACATTTAACCTTCCGTTCTATCCGCAAAACGATTCCCTCTGTTTTGCTTTTTACAGGTGCCCTGACACCAATAAGCCTTTGGGACTGATGTTGCTCAATGGTCTCACCAAGCTCATCAACGAATACAAGGAGGTACTCGGCCTCAGCCCTAAAAAAATACCGGCTCCGCCTCAAAGCGTGTCTATTTTGCTGAGCCGTGCGTGTCTTTACAGGATCCAAAGCTGCTGTGCGTCGCGTACTCTGCCGTCGGGAAGCTGTCAAGGTACGGCAAAGTCACCCCCCCCCCCTCCTCCCATTTATAAAATTAGAGATGGGCCTAATTGGTGTTGTTGTGTGTGCTTCAGCCGCATGCCGCAGCTCTTCACAAAGGACATCGCACTCGTGCAGCAGTTCTTTGAGTCCATGTGCAAGGTAGGCAACCGCGCCTAAGTCAGATCCTTCATCACCCCCCCCCCCAGTAACTCTAAACCCCAACGCCTCTGCTTTTTTAGGAGGAAGCCGACGTCCGCCTCGCCATTCAGGAGGCCCTGTCAATGATGGTCGGAGCTTATGCTAACCTGCAGGGGGCGCTGCTGAATCTGATGGAGGCTCTGGTGGCTGCATACATTGGAAAGGTAAGCCATCACAGCAGGATATACTGGCTGTCAGTTGAATAGAATGCTCAGTCACAATAGATTTAAAGGGCATCCTTTTGCCTCTTAATTGACCTCAAAGTTATGTTTCTGAAAGATGAAAGAAACTGACACCCAGTCTTTGAGCCCTTTATTGCTTTGCAGTTACTTTTGATATTGATGGGACAGGATTTGAGCAATGCTGTTTTTTGTTTTATTTCATTTTTTGTATTTGTTTTTGTTTGTTTGTTTTTCTGTCTTCTTGCACTAATACTTGGCATAGTACCTATAGTCATAGATTTCCATGCTGCATAACATGCAAATTACTTTCTTATTTTTTTCTTTTATTCAAAATTCCATGAAAAAAGATTGCTGATTAAAAAAGGGATGTTTCTCAAAAGTTTCATCAGCATACGAACAGATCAGCTCGCTGTTTGCAAATTCACATAAGAGGATTCTTGCATAATTCTGAATCCTCGATCGAGGCGGAGGGCTCCAGACGTCTCTCTTGCACACTACTCAGCCTGGTCTGACTTTGGCGAGAGGGAATCAGTACATAAGTTGTGTGTTCTGCCTGCATTGAACTGCGACAATTCCTCAGTTTAGCAACCTCAATTTAACAGTGGTATCAAACAAGTTTCCAAAAATGAACTCGCCATGCTCACGTCCGCACGTTTAATCTCTTGTTGAAGCAGAAAAACATCAGCTCGTTGTCGGCACGTTCCTTTTTGACTGTGATTCAAGCCCGTTCACTGTCTACTCTTTGGCAGCCGGAGGTGCAAGTTCGACAGGTGGCCATGAAGTTTGCCAGCACGGTGTTCGGTTCAGACCACGTGCCCACGAGATACCTGCTGCTGCTGGCCGCAGGAGACCCGTAAGTTCAAAAGAGCACCAGGATTTCCCTTTTTGTGGCGGTTTTTAACTGAGCTTGTATGTGGTGCTCCAACTGTGATGATGCAACGCGTTGATTTTCTGTATTTTAGACGGGAAGAAGTGTCTGCAGAGGCTCAGAAGGTGCTGAGGGCTTTCCCCGCCAAGAGCTCAGAGAAGGAGGGACCCAAGCCGATGCCCTCTTTTCCTGAAATGGTTGCCTATGTCCAGGAGAAAGTGAGGCTCAAAACATCTAATGGACCATACGTCTTAAGTTTCAGAGGGGCCTTTTTTTGACTGAAAAACCAAAACAAAACGTTTTTTTTGTTTTGCTGTTGCCAGGCGGCTCAGAGGATTAAGACTCCTGCCAAGTACATAGTTGGAACCTCCACAATTCCTTTCAACCCATCTGCATTCGGGGAGGTAAACGCTGTTACTGCCTTACATTGGATAGTCGTCACCATGGAAATCCCTCATCTTCTCCTCCCCTCTCTTTTCCGTCCTCTTAGATCATACTCTACCTGAGGATGTGCTTGGCCCACAGTGCGGGGGCCACACCCATGTCCACCCGCCTGTCGGACATGCAGGACGACGCTCCCACCATCGGCCGCTACGTCCACACGCTGCTGTCTTCCGAGCCGCAGCCCTCTGGGTCAAAGGGCTCCGAGGCCAACCCTGTGCACGTTTACATGGACCTCATGCAGCAGCTGCTGTCTGCTGTCGGGGGTGAGTGAGTGAACTAGTGAATGTTTTGGGTTTGTGGTTTTGGATAATTTGTTTTATTGTAACTGGTAAAAAATCGGCATTTATACATTTCTCTATATTTTTTAAATTGGGTTAAAACTGACCGGTTCTAACGCCTGTTATTTTTTTTTTTATTTTTTTTAAAGGTTCTATGAGCCCAACCTTTTATCCACCAAAAATTAATCTGATACTACTTTTAATTGGATTTGAAGAAAAAAATTCAGTTTCTTACTTACAGTTAAGCCTGTATACAACATAGAACATTTATTAAAAATTGACTTAAAAGATGGACTCTCTAATTTAGTTAACCTTTTGTTTGGGTGTGTGTTTTATTTTAAATTTGTACATGTCCTAAACAACAATTGGTTTGCACATGTCCCATTTCCCTGCAGATCTCTGCCTATTTGTATATATATGCCAAAGGTGGCATTTGGATTATTTCTCAACCTATAAATCGGCTCTTATCAGTGCCATTTGTTCCATAATTTGAGAAGGAATTGAGTTCATCTCACCATTTCTCAACAGGTATTCCTGTCATGTACTGTTTACTGGAGGTGGTGTCAGTGTGTCCAGAGAAACTGGCCACCAGGTTTGCTGACAAGATCGACTGGATTAAAGTGAGTATTTTTCTTTAGAATGTTAGTGTACATGAGAGATGGAGTCAGTAGTTATTTTGCCAGTCTTACAGCACTGTAAAGCAGTCGGTCCAGCTGGTTCTGGTGGTGGTACAACACCCAGTTGTTTGTTTTTCTTCTGTCCAGAGTCTGATGAACACAAACAAGGAGGACATGAGGGAGCTTGCAGCCCAGCTGTATGCTGTAGTGATTTCCACCATGACTGGCAATGAGCTTCAGACGGCCGTGCAGAACCTTGTCAAAATCACCAAAGACAACCACGTATGGAGCTCTGCCTCTCGTGTCCATTTTCGATAAGCCCAAAAGATTGAACTTAAAAAAATGTTTTTTCAAATACATTGAATGTACGGAAGAATGCATTTTCACTTTAGCTGTTTTGGATTCGGTTGAATCGCAGAGTCCTGAGACGCAGCACGGCGCCATTTTGGCTCTCGGTTACATGGTGGGAAGAAACATGAGCAGAAAGAGAGCCATGAGCCCGTGTAACCGAGGCAAAGGGCAGCAAATGAGCATCACCACCCAGGACGACGATGAACCTGCCTCCAAGGCCACCAAGACCATCGGTAGAAATTCTGATTGTTTGTTTTTTTTCTAGGGAAAAACAAGAACAATTGCTGTGCCGGTTATTTCCCCCTTCTCAAGTTTTTGCGTGCGTGTCCATCCAGGCTCCTTTCTGGACAGCAGCAGTGCGCTGCTGGCCGTGGCAGCCTGTACAGCTCTGGGGGAAATTGGGCGGAATGGCCCCCTGCTGATCCCCGCAGAGGGGGAGGGCTTCACAAAACTCTCCATCGTGGAAAACCTGCTGGCTCGAATCCCCTCTGGCAAGGAGAGCACAAAGGTAACCTCAGCACGTAGTTGCAGGATGCTTAATTTTTTCTTTGTTTTTATTTTCTGTTTTCTTATTTGGTTCCTTGCCTCATTTTTTCCCTCATTAACTTGCTTCTGTTTCTTCTCGCGTGCGTTCCAGATGAAGGAGCGCTCCATCATGACCTTGGGTTATCTAGCAGTGGGGGACGCAGACTTCCCGCACCAGAAGAAGCTGCTGCAGGGGCTCATGGACTCCGTGGAGGTACCGAAACAAAAATGAAGTACAGGCGTCCAGCGTCTGCCATTCTGTTCGATCCGTGCTCACATTCATCCCTCAAAATGTTCTAAAACGTTTGCTTGTTATTTTTGTGCTTTCGAACAGCCACATTTTTCTGGGAATTTTTACATTTTTTAATCAGTCATAGGTAGCATTTAAAAAATTTTTTAAAAGGTTTGGCAGGTTTTACGATTGTTTTTGTGTTAATCCACAACCAAACTGGTTATTAAGCTCATCTCTTTGCACTCCCCTTCCTAAATCAAATTGGTTATTTACAGCAGGCAAAGTAGCAAATATTTTGGCCAATGGCGGTCTTTAACATCACATAAGTAGTGTAAAAGGTCTGCTTTAGTGGTCCCTATTTGATGTCATGTCCTGTCTAGCATCAGGTCTCACTTTTATCACTTTCTTTATTTTCTTTCTGTCCAAGGCCAAACAGGTGGAGCTGCAGTTCACAGTTGGGGAGGCCATCACCAGTGCCGCCATAGGAACTGGCTCTGGAGCAGCCAGAGACCCATGGACCTGCACGGAGGACCAGTACAACCCGCCACTCGGTCAGTCACACCAGCTTTTTGTTAAAGGAATTTTTGGGTAAAAAAAACTGCGTTGTAAAAAAGAAATTCAGTTCTCAAGTCTGTTTAGATACAAATGTCCAGTTTTTTCTCAACAGAACTTTTTCTTTTTTCTTCCCTGCCTTTTTCAGATGTTAAAAACAATGATGTGGTCCCCTGGGTCCTCAACTCCATCCTGTCTAAATACATACCCAGCCAAAACCCTCACGTCCGACAGGCCGCCTGCATCTGGCTGCTCTCCCTCGTCAAGAAACTCGCTCAGCACAAGGAAATCACTGTGCGTATTTGGCAGAAACCAGCTGAATCCATTAGTTTATTTTGGCAGCTGGACTTCAAGTGATTTTCTTTCCCTTTCTGTCCCCCTACAGTCCCATCTCAAGGAGATCCAGAACGCATTTATCTCTGTTCTCTCTGACCCTGACGGTGAGACAAAATGTGCCGAGCACCAGCGACGTTAACACAGTGATGCTACATCTCTCTCAGCCCTCATCAATCCTCCATCCACCCCTTTTCTTTTTTTTCCTTTCCACCCAGAGCTGAGTCAGGATGTGGCGTCCAAAGGCCTCGGACTCGTCTATGAGATGGGAGATGAGGGCGATCAGCAGGAGCTGGTGTCCACTCTGGTGGAAACCCTCATGACTGGCAAAAGGCGAGTCGACGGTTGAATCGAAGGGACACGAGTTCTCTGATGAGCCTTTGTTAAAGGCAATTTTGTCTTTTCAAGCAGGGTGAGGCACGCAGTCTCCGAGGATACGGAGGTGTTCCAGGGGGAAGGTTTGGGAAAAACTCCTGACGGGTGAGTCATGTGCTCATGTATGTTTTAGTGCCAGCTGATAGTTTTTATGCTGATATTTTAATCTAGAACAAAGAAAAAAAAAATAGAAATGACCAGGGGCCCTAAAAGTGTGCATGTTGGTTTTGTTTAGCAGATCTGTGCCACTTTCTTCCTCGCATGCCTAAGTACGACTTAATTCTTTGATCCCTCACAGCCACGGCCTGTCTACGTACAAGGAGCTCTGCTCATTGGCCAGCGACCTGAACCAGCCAGATCTCGTATACAAATTCATGAACCTGGCCAATCATCATGCAATGTGGAACTCACGGAAGGTACGGCACTCACTTGTTCTCAGAGCCACTCTTTTTTTTTTCCCCCTCTCCCGCCTGACCCAAGTGAGCCTCTCCTCCTTCCAGGGAGCAGCTTTTGGCTTCCACATGATCGCAGCCAAGGCCGGGGAGCAGCTGGCTCCGTTCCTGCCCCAGTTAGTGCCTCGTCTGTACCGCTATCAGTTCGACCCCAACCTGAGCATTCGCCAGGCCATGACCAGCATTTGGGATGCTCTGGTCACGGACAAGACCCTGGTAGGAGCTCGGGCTCATTGCATTTTTTATTTGTTTATTTACACCATAATTGAGAAGACTGATGTAGACAAAGCCTTTTTTAAAAGTATATGTGTGTTACAGGTGGATAAGTATCTGAAGGAGATCCTGAGGGATGTCATTTCTAATTTGACCAGCAGCGCCTGGAGAGTTCGTGAGTCCAGGTACAATGAAAGCATTCCCCCTAAAGACAGGTTAGGTCGGGTTATCCGCAGTAATAAGCTTTTATTGGAAGTTCCTCCACTGTATCTTTTAAACTTGAGTATAAAACAGAGACTATGAGGCAACGCAAAACCCAGTCTTTCATCGATGGAGGAACTGGCCCCACATGAATCGATTAGTATTACAAGTACAGAATAATTTACATGTCACCTCACACATTTAGAATTTGTAATCTTAGACTGCAAATGGTCGTTTCTTGTTGTGATCTTGATCACACATTGTCATGGCCATTGTCATGGGGTTTTACCGTTATATCCGGGCAGTCAGGCTCTCTTTGAAAACAAACTGCTTCAAAAGTCGCATCACTCGAGTCGAAACACGGCGTGGTTGGTCTGACAGGAGTAAGTATTTAGCAGCTTTTAAGGAGCTGATTATACAGGACATCGTAGTGGGGCTCAGGAAAACTGTGCTTCTGGATTTGGATTAGGACTTTTTTTTTTTTTAATGACGTGTGACTGGTTTCCTCTAGCTGCCTTGCTCTGAGCGACCTGATTCGTGGGCGTCAAGCGGACGACCTCATCGATCATCTGGCCGAAATCTGGGAGACGCTGTTCAGAGTTCTCGACGACATCAAGGTAAGAGGGAAAGTGCTGCTGTTTTTGTGTTGTTTTTTCCTCGGTGCGATCACCTGAGCCTCAGGCACAACACTTCTATGTGTCTCGGCTTTGCTCATTTGTATATTTATTAATAT